ACTCAAGTCTTTTGAGAGCTTGATAAACATAAATTTAGTAGCATCATGAAGGAATTTTTAGTGAAATAATTATTATTTAAATATCTTACTTAGCATTAAAAATAATATTGCAATTAATTAATTGTTCCTCAATGTCATTTCATTAAAAGATAGTAATTGAGGAAAAATTCTAACATAAGTTTTTTTTGGCTAGTATTTTCTTCATTTTAAAGGCCTATAATATTGCAAATTTTAGTATTATAAATCGTCCCCATATATAACGTAGTGGCGAATGTGGAAAAATTGATTTTCTTTTTATTTGTGCATTTAAGTTGTCTTACTGTGTAGAATCTCTGAAAAAAAATTAAGTCAATTAGATAACTAATTAAGAATATTAATTAGCAAACTGACAAATGTAGCTATATCAATCGATTTGTTTATTACAAACCGGCGAATGTATCATTTTGCACGCAATACGCATATGTCGCGTAAGGCTTTCTCCTTAAACGGCAGTGCGTACAAGCATAAATAATGAACATATATCTTATGAGTGGATTTAAATCGAAACGGTTCTGAGTTTGGTCAGGTTTGGTCTACAGGAGCACATATGCCTAGGTTTAAACAATACCTATACTATTAAATACATTAATGATAATAAGAAACTTTTGTGCTAGTTCTAAATTACATCAAAATGAATTAATTTCCATAAATCATTATGGATCATTTTAACCATTATTGTTATTCAGGTCCAATTCTCAATGGGGAGGTGCGTTTTGCAACCGAAGTGGACCTTACGATGGGCGACTGCCTTGGGATCCCCGCGAGGGTGTGGCGAATCTTCTGAGAGCTCTGACTTAATTAGCATTTTGTGGGCCTGAGGTCCCCAAGGTGGCGATGCCCAGACGAGGGTGCCGATTTTCTCGACGAGAGCAAAGTGGGCGTGGCTGAACGTCGAGTATTTAGGGGTTTTCAAATGTTGGAGTCTACTAATATGTAGAAAATACTTAGGTCTATATTTTTTTTTTCTCCCCGACGAATTTTGGTGTTTTTTTTCCCCGGGGGAAAGCTCTCCCCTACGTGGGGCCAGCTCTCCCCTACGTGGGGCCCTGCACCCGGCCTCCGCCCTGCACCCGGCCTCCGCTGGCGCAACCCCTGGACCATACCCAGTACTGTTTGGATTCATATCGACAGGAAATCCACTCAAAATGCAAATTTATTCGGAGAGCGGCGATTCGGAGAGCGTTTTCCCCATACTCCCACCAGAGTTCAGCCCCTGCACCCCCAGGGATCTCAAGATGGCCCAGGTCCCTTAGTAAACCTGTACAAAACAAGTCCTGCCTATTCATTAAATACTAAGAACTACAGTAGGCCTACTGTATAATAAATAAAACATTCATAATACACTTGCTGTTAAGTCTGTCTCTTATACACATCTAGATGTGTATAAGAGACAGTTGATGTACAGTAGTGGCCCGCCCTCTACCAGTAGTTTTGAAGAAAGAAAAGGACACCTTCAATGTGCCTCCATGTCTTAATTGATTTCCAAGTGTCGCATATTAAAAGGGGTTAATATACTGTATAGGTTTGACCAATATGTAATGTCTGTGTGCTTTCTAAGGAAACGCTTAGTTCTTGCGCGTCCAAATGAGCCCCGGAGTGGCCAGGGGCCTCTACTTACTACTGTATTACTGAGCAATCTAATACGCTTTTGACAATATCATACATTTTCTTTAAATTTTTAAAAATTTACCGAGCACCGAACAGTTGCATCCCCATCCACTCTAGATCCACCTCCACCCTTAAACATGGCAATAAATAATTAAATACATGATTTTAGGGGAAAAGTAAATTTGTGTCCGTCTCTGAATTTAAATTGTGTTAATAGAGCCTACTATTAATTGTTGGAACCGTACCTTACAGAATATAACTAGGGGCAGATATAATAATGATAATAATAATAATGTCATTTTATTAGGCGTACGTATCCAACTCTTGGTAGAGCTGCTCGCGGTGCCGTTTTCCACCTGTAGAGTGTAGATGTAGCCTTTTTCCTGCCTTATTATTTTGAATTAATTAATTTTATTTAAATTATTTATTTATTTTTATGTATATTTATTATTGCAAGACTTTTCAGCATAAAATAATGCTTCGCTTTTCTCTATTCCTGTCTCTTATACACATCTAGATGTGTATAAGAGACAGATGTAGTTTCACGCTGGTATTAACATTTTTAACATTCAAATTTACTAATTACACAGAAGCTCTGTTTAATCTCAACCTCCCATTGGTCACTATCTGAAGTGTGCAAAAAATTTCCCTAATACATCTCATCTAGGCGTCCTCTCCATCGATTTTTGAATGACGATTTTTGTGGTAGTATAATTTCTAGTGGCAGGGGTAGGAGTGCAATAATTTTTTTAAAATTTTTTTTAATCAAAATTCTAAAATAAAATGGAGGAGAAAAGAAAATAATATTCAAATTTAAGTTTAAGAGTGCCATTTCCGACCATCTAGGGGTGCCATATAAATTTTAAAAATATTTTCTTCCCTGGTCCATTCTATGTCAAATCCACCAATGGGGGTGGGGCTAACATAGAATAAATGGAAGTGCACAATTTGTGCTGCTGGTCTCAACAGATTGGGACTGGCCTCCAGCTTAAAAAGGTTGAATATCCGGGCCTTATAAATGCATCTGATGATTATAAAGCAAACTAAAATATAACATCATCATATTGCACTGTTTTTAATTCAAAAGTTGGCTGTCATGTACCGCCATTACTAACAAGTCTCAGGTAATCTATTTATTTCTGATAGACTGGGTGTAATCGAAAACCCTCCCTCCAGTGGCGAGAAGGAACATTTGACATTATCTCTGTCTAGTTTATGAATCTTGTTTATGATCTTAAGCAAGTTACTGATACCTACTTCAATTTGACATAAAACAGAAAACACGGTACTTGATCAATTACCATGGCAACGAAAAACAATTTGGTGGCAGGACGGAATAAACAAATTGGACAAAAATGAGACGACAGGTTATCTTCTCAATTAATTTAAACTTTAAAATTGTACTATAAACTTAAGCACATACTTTTGAGTAATCACCATAGACAAAATCAATACATATAGAACTATATGTACTGTAAATTTAAGGGATCATTCATACCCCTTGCACATTTTTGGCAGAAATGGCAGAATTTTAGTACTAAAGGGCCTGTCTCTTATACACATCTAGATGTGTATAAGAGACAGAGGTAAAGGACACCTAGTTTTTCATTATTTAAGGTATAATGTATGTTATTATGGTGGCAGAACTGAATTCTAAACAGTGGTGGAATGGAATTCTAATATTTTTATCAATATTTTTTATTGGTTTATAATAGTTTTAAATTTCTCAATTTTTTTTAAAGGCGAAATCATAATAGTAACACCTTTAAAATCATCATATTGTTAAGAATTATGGAAATGGAATTGAAAACACATTTAAAAACAAATTATGCTTCATAAGGTAAGTAAAATCGTAACAGAGTTCGTACGTGTCCTTTAATTCCTGGAATGTCCTGGTAAAACAAATGAGCTTTTTCCAGTACTGGGAATATATGAATGTCCTGGAAGTTTGATCATTTATTACCATATATCCAGTACTGCAGGTTGCCTAGTAACAGTAAATTAAATAAGAAACGTTCCCACAGGTTCCCAACAATACGCCGCCAATAGAGGGATTTAGCGACCTAATTTGGGCATTGGATATAAACAATCCACTGACATAGCGGTGTTGTACTGGAGAATGCTATTGCAGCCGTCCCTTGTTTATTGCTGTAAATATCATCATAATTCCCAGTAAACTATACCACATTGTTTGGAAATTTAACTAAAGAAGTTTGCCTTTTTGGTTTTCTAATGCTGTAAAGGGTACTGGCTGCAAACATTGAGATTTATTGAAGTATTGCTGACCCTTTTGACCTAGGTCAAAGTTTATGTGTAACAAAATTCCAATTTTGGGCCATAAAAAGGGTGACTATGTTACTGACTATGTTGATTATGTAGATTATGTCATTTTGTACATGAATAAAATGTATTTGGTAAACTAAATTATGATATCACGTGTATGATTTTCTTTTTGTCCTAGTCCTAATACGAGGTAATGAGATACAAAAAACATTTCTCCAAAAACTTTTATTTCGTCATCGATTAAATCAAGACCAGAATCTTTCTACTGGTATTCACTGAAGTCTGGAGGCGACTTTAATTTCTGATGATTCTCATGGTTTCTGCAGCCTGAGTTTGTCTTCATACCTAAAATAGTAATATAATGATATTATTGTAATAATTGTAAAACTAACACTGATAATAAAAAAAACAGGAACAACACTAGTAATAAAAAAGTAATGTATGTATGTGAGAAAGAATAAAATAACATATACTTTCTTATCAATTACCAAAGTCTTCTTTAGTGTGATAACTTTCAAAACACTTGGGGTGGAGTCCAGGTCCACCGGGGCATGAGTCGCAAAAGTAGATGGTTTCTACTGCTTTGCCTGAGTTTGTCCTTATACCTAAAACAGTGATAAAACAATATATTGTAATAGTTGTAAAAGCAGTAGGAACAAATTAGGAGCAGCACTAGTAATAAAAAATGTGATGTATGTGAGGAAGAATAAAGTAACATATACACCTCGAGCTCTGCAAACTTTGCATACTCTTGTTGACCGCCTTGTGCCACTCGCTGTCATTGGTTGTTGTGAAGGGAAATGTCTTCCAGGAAGTCGATGAACGGTTGTGACTTCCAATGCTGCTCTATTTAACTTTGGACTTGACCTCAGTTTCACCGAAATGATGTCGTGCAGAAACTTTAGATATTTCACATAAGCCGTTGATGGATTAGCATCCATTTTGTACAGTTTAGGGTACAAAGCATGATTATTCTTATGGTCACTTTGGTGCTCCATTTGTATGATTTCCTTGTTGTTTGAATACCATGCAATTGTTGATCTGTCACATCCACGCCTCCCATTTTCTGATTATAATTCAAAATTAGTTGGCTTTATTGTGTCATTGTTATCCCTGTCCTTTTTCCCGGAGGATTCAATACCATATGTATGCTTCGACGACAGCATATGTACAATCATCGGCTTGCCATTTGCCTTATCTTTCTTCCCACGGAATTTACAGGCTAGTATATTGCAAGACTTTTCAGCATAAAATAATGCTTCGCTTTTCTCTATTCTGTGCTCAGCAAGCTCTTCTGGAAAGTTCTTCTGCTTTGTTTGTACCGTACCTACGGTATACATGTTTCTTTTTAGCAAGTGGTCTACAAGGAACGGAGATGTGTAGTAGTTATCAATAAACAAAGTGCGCCCTTTGACAAGAAATGGTTGAATAAGTGTGTCAACGATTCTTTCTGTAGCACTTAGGTCTGCGTTTCCCTCAATTTGTTTACCGCAGTAGATTAGAAAATCCAACATAATTCCAGACGATGTGCAGATTTCATAGAATTTTACACCAAATCGCGATCGTTTGAACAGAAGCCTGCCTTTGAAAAGAAGAAGGGACTCATCAATAGATAGGTCACAGCCTGGCTCATAGACCGATGCACATCTCTGTTTTACATTGTTTCGTTGAAAATCAGTGTTGCATATAATTCGTCTGTGCTCCAATACATTTGGATTTGATGCTTGTGAACAATACCCATCAGCATAAAAACGTTTTAATCTCGTTGACGTCCACATCTTGCTAATCATCCCCACTGTCATCATCTATTAAAATAAGGGTAAGTGCATCACTGACGTTGAATGATTGCTTCCTTTTGGCCATTTTGAGATTCTTCTGCATGTCCAGTTGTGGCAACAATAGGGAAATCCCCTAAATGACTCATTAAATTGAGGGCAGCAGCACTAAAAGTCATTCCGTACTGTATACGGAGCGGGCTTCCTGCGACAGTAAATTGGTCCATATGGTATACGGACCGCGACTTCAAAAGGTTAAGAGAACAAGGAATTTTTGGTGATCTTAGTTATTATTTAAATATCTCATTTTTGTTCGGAGTAAAAACAATATTATACAGTAATTAATTGATTAATTAACTAATTGTGTTTCTCGATATCATTTCATTAAAAAATGCTAGTCTATAGTATAGTATATATGCTAGTACTTTCTTCATTTTACAGACCTATAGTATTGCAAATTTTAGTACAGTATTATAAATTTTCATATTATTCCGAAGAATACTAGAACCATTATAATATTTAATACTTAGTATACTGTATGTTTTCATACGAACTTTCATTTAAAATATGTGGTAATATTATTAAACAATTCATTTTTATTAATATCTAGTACTCTAAACAGTCAAATAAATTTTAATTCCTTATACATACAAAACCAAATGACAATATGAAAGAAATTCAATATTTACTCCTACATCTTTGTATATATGGTTGTAAAGCTTACACATTATTGTATGCAACATGATACTGATGATTATAAAGCAAACTAAAATATAACATCTTATTTCACTGTCTTTGATTCAAAAGTTGGCTGTCATTTACCGAATGTCAGGTAATCTATTTATTTGTGATACCATCATTTTTTAATATTATCTGAACATAATTTTATTGGCTGTTCCGTGATAGACTTGGTGTAATCCAAAACATTCCCTACCGTGGCAGGACGGAAATTTAGACATTTAATCTTGAGCAAGGTACTGATACCTACAGTACTACAATTTGACGTAAAACAGAAAACACAGTACTTGATCAAATCATCATGGCAATGAAAAAACATTTTCGTGGCGGGACGAATGAACAAATTGTACAACAATGAGACAACCGGTTATCTTCTCAATTAATTCAAACTTTAAAATTGTACTGTTAACTTAAGCACATACTTTTGAGTAGCAACTGAAGCTTCATAACAATAGGCAATATCAATACATTTCAATATACAACTATATGTACTCTAATTTTAAGGGATCATTCATACCCCCTGCACATTTTTGCCAGAAATGGCAGAGTTATAATAATACAGGGCTCTACAATGTTGTCATCACTAAAATAGTTGTGGAACCACACCAATAGTTTTTCATTATTTAAGGTATAATCTAGCTTTTTATGCTTTTACGTTGTGGGAGGGGGGTCACGCCAGGATGGGAGAGGGATCCAGGCCCTTCTTCTTGGAGAAAAACCATGATTCGTTGGGTAGAAATTAAGTACAGTATGTAAATATTTTCTACATATCAGTAGACCCCAAAACCAATTTTGAAACTCTTAAATTATATTTTTCGGGGGCTTTGACCCTAAGAACACTAGAGATTTTGAGTGACGCCCAACCACGCCCATCTTTTTTTTTCGGGGATATCTTTAAGAAAAATTTTTTTTCAAAGTTAAATCGCATTGCTGATCGTTTTATGAGCACCTTAGATCTATACGCTTACGTATGCCTGGTTTACCAGTAGCTTCTCATTTTTCTCATAATCATAATATTGACGATATACAAATTACTGGTGTTAGTTTATGTAAAGGATCTGATTTCTCTAGGAAAGAATTAGAACAGAAAATCATCTATAAATTAGGTACGTTACATCCTGCTGGCATTAATGTTAGCTTCACTGCTTTTAGATTATGATATGTTATTTACAGCAGATTTTTTTTATTATAGGCCTATATTGTATTATATATATTTTATTTCATGTATTTTGGTATATTCCATCCGTATACAGAATAGGCTTCCTGTCTGTATGACTCATTCTGATGGCATTTGTTTTAGATTTGATTCAGTTCACGCCCTTTATTGTTCCTTGTAGCTCCCTAGCTACTTGTTGCTTTATCATACTACGTCCGCATTAAGTGTATTTTTACTCGCTATATTTTTTATCTGTACCACCTGATGAAGGGCGATGCCCGAAAACGTTTGTGTTTTTTACTATTAAAAGTTACGGCTACTCTACACTTTTGCTTTATGCGTTTTATTACTATTTTATTGAAGCCGATGCAGCCACCTACTCGTTTACTTATACATATAATATATATATACATATATACATACATCAATATCTGACGTCAGCCAAGAAGTTATTTAGCCTTTCTCAAACCAAAGAAAGACAAATGATGTACGTAATTATAATGCGCCTTTGGAAAAACATATTTCTTCACAATGAAATGCTTCTATGCAACAAATTCCATTCCTGGGTTCACGCTAACCGATCGCCAAGTCGCCATTGGCGAAAACAATTTTGAATTGGCGAAACAAAAAACAACTACTTTAGCCATTTTGGCGAAAGCTTAAAAAAAATTTAAAAATTTTTTTTAAATACTTGCTGAAATACATTGTTTCTTTTGTCCGACCTCTCCATGGAAATATTTTTCAGTCGGCACGATCAAGGCCAAGATCTCCATTTTACGCTTGGCCTACTCCATTGCCAGTGCCATGCAACGTTTATGTGTGTTGTTCTATTAGTGTGACTACAAACGTCACTGTGTGCATCGCAAATTATTTGTTATTTTAAAGTGGGCAGCGTAACAATCAGTGGCTGGATGGAAACGACTACAGTACCGACACAAAATACTGCATTTTTACCTGCGCGCAGGCTTCGTAGATACATCTCGTAGCCTGATGATATAAACAATCTAAGCTAGGCCGGCTACGCGAAGCGAACCTACGAAGCAAAAGCATGTTGTTTATTTGTGTGTGTGCAGACAGACTGCTGTAGCTTACTGGAATAAACAATGTATTGCTTGATAATTTGTTAATGACAAGCACAAGTTTAGACCGTTAATTTAAAGTATGGAGTTGTTTTTCAATAAGAAAAACGTACAATTGACTTTTTTTTTTTTTATTAATTAGCCTGGCCTAGGCTAGCCTATTTTTTTTATTTACAATTATTTTACCTCTTTAACTGTTAAAAAAGATGCCCTCAATGACAATACACACACGTGAAAAGATTTTTCATCAAATAATACTTTGTAGCCTTAATTTAGTACAATAAATAATAAATATAGAGAGAGTTAACGTCCGTTAATTGTAAAATTACCGAATGTCACATGTAAAACCCAATGGAAAATAAAACTTGGCAAAATGTCAGTTCATCTTCTCATCTTGTCAACCCCAAAAATCCAGCATCGGACAGAGTGCGCACCAATCAGAACACAGTAAAGTGTGTTAAAGGGTAACCTCATAGCAAATGTTGAAAAGGTGTGAGCGACAGTGAGTAAAAGACGGTCTAGCATGATTAGCTTTACTTCAGCTACTACTTACTACTTTAAGTAGTGATTTCTGTAGATCATTATTATTGGATTGCTTAGCAGGTTCTGCCTCAATTTATACGGTAAACAATAAACAACGTGATGTTAAGTAGAAATCGTAATAATTTGTACATGATTTGTCATCAGTATTATTATTTAAAAGAAGAAAGTTCCTACTACCGGAACAATATCAGATCAAAATTCTCCTAATTGGAAATTACTATCTGCTGTCCTCCTCTATGACATCGAAATTCAAACATACTGACGGCCCACTAGGTTTACCTAGCTATCGAACTAAACACAGTTTTAAAACATGATCGATCTAATAATAAGGTAGGAAATAACAAAACAATAAGTTCTAACATTGTTTATTAGTAAATTGCAACATTTTTCACATGCTGAAAGCTGGTAAACTATATTTCAATATTGTTTACGCATTGTTTATCAGCCCAACGATCCAGCCTACGAAGTTTGCAAAGCTAATTAAAATAACAATGACCTTCGTAGTGGTTCGTAGCTACGTTCCAAACATAACATAATGAACAGTGTGTGCCACTGTTGTAAAAGTGTGTGCCAATAAAAACTGTAACTGAAACTGAAACGAACAGATTACGAGTGGTTACGCGCAGATACAAAGCAGTACTGTAATTCCTGTCTGTACTGTAATTTCTATGTTCACGACAGTCGGCTAGCTGTGAGCGTGCCCCAAATGCCCAAGTGCACACACAACAGCATAACTAAAGCAGCCGACTGCCGGGTAAATAATGGCTTTCGAGCTTGGGGGTTTTTACTTGAATGCTTGAATGATTTCAATGTCAATGGCCAGGCCACGATTTTTTTTTTTCCCGTACGAAACATTTGCATGAAACTTCACTCGAGCCATTTAAGTGCATGATAAGTGGCTAAAACAATTTTTAACATTTTAGCCAATTTTGGCTAAACAAACATCCAATTGGCTAAATTTTTTTTTTAAGCTTTATTCAATTGGCTAAACAAAAATGAAATTTAGAGTGAACCCAGCATTCACTCACCAAACTGTCTACTTATATCATAAACCTCTACATAAATATCTTCATAATTACAGTACAAAATATTTCAAAAAGTTACGTACACAACAAACCTTACAACAACCATTAATATCACTGTACATGACATCACACCTTTCCTAACTGTTAAGTGAACATAACAAAAAAGGTCTATGATGATGCATACAACTAACTCTAACTTTAAATGTTTTTCTTTATGCTCAATACACATAACAACACTCCACACAACCTCCACCCACCGACAGCACTTAAACATTGCCAGCTATTGTCAAGTGGGCTATTGCATCATTGATGCTCTCGTTGTTAGATTCATATTCATAGCATATTGATAGGAAACGGCTCTAATTAATTCTTTTGATGCACCGGCAATAAGAAGCTTCTGCTGGAGTGTTTGGTCTGCAATGTGGAATTTCTTATTTTTTATTGTGAACTTGGTCATCAACA